TTAGATGCTTGATAACCGCGACAACAACCCTAGATTTCAAATGTGGATGGCCTTGGGAAGTTATGGATGACACACATGTGTGAGTGTTCACCACACAGGATATGACCCAATGCTCGATTCTCTTGCTCTTGATGGCCCGAACCCTAGCCTTGCATCCCTCGTCTTGATTCTGGCATCTAACTATGAGCCTCCTCGTGTCAGAATGACTTATGCACCATTCAAAACTCCGAGTTATTGCTTCAATGTCAATAGTGTGCCGCATCTCCTTATTCGTACCAAATTATTGGTCCTTCGTAAACCCAGTGAGTGGACCCCATATTGGCACCTCTTGCGGCTCCATGTCGGTATCAACGTACCAATTTTCATTTGGAATGTCATTGTAGTACGGGATAGCCACATGGTCACGAGACACCTCCTGATCATCTGAGTCTGAATATGGGCATGAATCATCAGCACCTTCAAGAGGGTCGAAGCTGTCTACACTGACTTCACCTTCCTCTTCTTCATCCTCAGGGTCACTAACTACACGTGGCAGCGTATCTTCCATCTCATCCAGATCATGAAAGGCACTTTCATCGGCTCTATAATGGTAGTTTTGATAACTACCGCTGCCTGCATGGAAGTCGTACTAGGGTTGGCACTGGTAGACTTCTTGTTGGTTGTCATGGTACCGTTGGGCTTCTCCTTCATATAATGGGACGGATTGATGATGACCTCCAAACTCCTTCTTAATACTCATGGTAGGAATGATGATCATGGTAACCTTAGTAAGGATGATCTTCATATACTCCACCCCCACCGTGGATACCAAATGTTTGGCCATCTCCAGATGACCTCCACCGTCTTCAACCTCCTCGGTGTAACAAACCTCTCTACTTTGGCCATGTAATTGGCATTCAAAAATTCATGCATGGCATTAACTTCCTCTTGAGTAGTTATGAGCAATTCATCATGCCATAACAACCCAGCTTGTCGGTTTGGATATCGATACACTATAAGATCAACTCTCCTCTTGTCCTCCATGCAAGTAACCATAAAAGACATTTGACGGAACTTTTCAAGGTTCGGTCTCGTAGCGACTTTCATTTTCTGAAAACAACCACCGACGTAACCCCGTATTAAGTCTCTTTTGTGTAACCATTTTTACCGTAAACCAAGCGTGAACTTTTGGAATGTCATTTACAATAAAATTGTAACTAAATTAATACCATAAATTTTGTAAAAGACGTACACATTAATGCTTTTTGAATGATAAGCATTTAAAAATCACAAATCACAATAAAAAATTAATACAAAACAAACTTACGTAGTAACGTTAATCGCAAAAACTAAAAAAAAGAGTAAAAAAACATAACTGAATTATAAAGAATAAGGAGAGTGAGTGAAGAACTGAGGTTCCCGGTACGACCTTCTATATGCAAAATGTCAAGTGAAAACTGCTGGGGCGGGGGTGGCAAACCCCACGTCTGCAACCCCCTGCATGCCGACAAGTTGGCTTTCGGGGGAATGGGGACTACATGCAAACCGCCCCTCCCCCGGCGTTTGTGTGTTGGCAAATCCAATCGCCGGGTATCGTGGGAGTTCGAATAGTCGACCTACAACCGTCGGGGATACCGACGGTCTGTTTTAGTGCAGCCACAAAACCGCCTAGTGGCCATGCGGTTGCGAAAATAAAAATGGCCACTTAAAACCCGCTGCCCCTAGTAGCGGTTCTTGTGAAAGGGTGGTATAACTGGAAACGGTTGTATTTTAATATGAATCCAGTGATCTATATTCAAATTTTGCATGTTATACTCAGCTGCCCTATTATGTTGAATGCACACCCCCACTAAAATGGGTTATTTTCCCATAATACACACGTTCTTAAAAAAAATCTCAAAATACACATGTTATATAAAAATTTCTCAATCTTCAAATGTTTGGGAATCTCGGTGTCGTCGGACGCGGTGAAGGCATTCATCGCTCCCATAGGATAGCAATGAATGCATCACAGCGGCAGAAGAGCACGGTGAAGGCTTCACTACGGCCGAGAAACACTGTGAATGCATGACCTAAGGCTGAAACTTCAAACTAACGTAGCTTTGTGTTCGATTATCCGGTCGTAACGGAAAAACTTTTGATTTCGCATAACTTTTCGAGATCTTGCGACTTGAAAGATCTCGAAAATTTATGTGGAATCAATAAAATTTGCTATGATCGGATAACCGAGCGCAATGTTACATTCGTTAAAGTTTCAGCTTTAGGTTAGGCATTCACCGCGTTTCTCAACCGCGTTGAAGCCTGCACCGCGCCTTCACCGCGCTCCTCTATCGCAGTGATGCATTCACTACTTTCCTCTGCAGCAATGAAGATGTTCACCGCATCCAACGGTCCCGATGATGTCAAAACATGTATAGATTGGAAATTTTGCATAAAACGTGTGTATTTTGGGGTTTTTTTACGTGTGTATTCTTGGGGGAAAATCCACTGGAAATATGAGATGTATAAGCTGAATTTTTTGTGGGAATTGTGTACTAGTAGTACTCCCGGTAGCATCTTTGCTTTCCATTTCTACGGTTTATTTATGTTTCATGTCTTCAGTTTTCACCAGCTTTTTCCACACAAAATAAAATTAGGGGGTAAAGAGAGAAGTTTTATAAGAAAGCATGTGAAATGATTAATGGAGGTGATGAGGTAATGATACTCGGTAGGTGGCGACTTGAGATTTTTATGCGTAAAACCCCATGTGGGGGCTCCTAATCAATTATGATCCTCCAATTACATGGATCTCTCTATCTAGATAATTAAATTGATTCTCCAAAATTAATATATATGCCTATAATGAGACCGTCATTAGTATTATTATGATTTCCATGAATAATTAAACAAAATAGAATCTTGCAAATAAACAAGTAGCAAAAGGAGGCAAAATGGAGGATACATGTGTATCATGGTCACATATATTCCAATGATGAATTGTAGTCTTTTGGGGTTTCATAATTTGTATAGTTTCAGCTTTTATATATATATATGGTAACTTCTATCGTACATCAGACATATATTAGAGTATGTCGTACACCAGCAATCTCCATCGTACGCGTACATCTCAACGACCAACATTAATGCAGGTTCATGTTTTGTAGGATTAAAAATAAATTATCTCATTTATACTGGTCATTGAAATAGATGTGAAAAGTGAAAATTGCATTGTGTATGATATATACAAAATTTTACCTAGTGATCGATGAATACGATAGAACCATCTATATATATTTTGATTTTTTCCATGAGGAAGCTCCAACGCTACTGCCATGCACTTGCCCACCTTCGACCTTTGCACATGGCTTCCACCCTATTCCCCCCCCCCCCCCCCCCCCCACCACCTCTCTCTCTCCTTGGGTCTCCAATTATTACCCTTTCATTTCATTTCATGCCCTTTCCCAATCCCAAATAATTAAGAAGAACCATTTTGATCTTTTTTTTTTATGTTGTTGTGTTATGGAACTTATGGTACTTGAGCAAGATGTGTCAATGATATTATATATCGCACTTTTGTAATCATTGATAATAAATATAGAGGCCAGATGGGTGCATGTGCAGAGGTTTAAGCTTGGAGCAACAACATGCATTTTGTTACACATCCTTCTTTTTTATTATGTCTTTTTGGGCTGGTTGGGATGTGTTTAATTTAGTCGGCTGCCATAATGCTATTTACCGTGTTTAACTCTAGCGATTTTGTTCAAACATATGTAGATTGGGAATTTTCATAAAACGTGTGTATTTTAAGAGTTCTTTTTTTAAGAACATGTGTACTTCGGAAAAAAAAAATCCAGTTTGTTTGCGAGATTTGAGTTTGAAACTTTTTCAACAAAATATACATGTAACCAATGAAATCATATCAATTATATAATAGTGTTGCGTGATGGAGACCAATGAACTTATAGTTCTATCAAGTCAGCATGATATAATTTGGAAATGTAATGTTCGAGTTGGAATGAATCGATATGCAATGTTATACATAACTTGAGAGTCTAATTATATTCAATTAATTGTAAGTTTACATAAAGTTGGTTAAAATCAACTCAAAATTTCTAGTTTCTTTTTTTTTTATGAATACGCAAACTTTCTGGTTTTGTAATATCGTCCATGTTCCTAATTATCCTACTTAATAAACTCATAAACCGCCAGGTTTATTCAATTTGATCCAATTAATCCACCAAAATTGTTCTTAAATGATTCTAGAAATCCATGATCTTGAATGGTTCTCCGATAATCAGACTTGTTACTAGCAAGTTTTAATCATAGTTCTATAAGTCAAGATCCCAATTAGGATTTTAGGTAAGCAAAAGCAAATAAAATTTCTATAAAAAAAAGTAGCGAGTAATACTGTAATAGATATCCCTAGATGAGGCAAACTCTTGTTAGGTATTGCTTTCCGTCCATAAAGTTGCTTGTTGTCAAATCTATTATTTGTCCTTGGAAACTTCTAACATGAAGGCCGGTTCACAGATTCTATTTCTATGATTATTGGGACCTTTCAAACATCCAATACCGTGAGAAGAGAAGAGAAGAAAAGAGATGAGAAGAGACCTTTAATGCTGCTCTTGGCCAGATGTTATCCCAACCCCAGAAAGACGATTCTCATTTACCACTCCCTCAGATGTCAAAGATCTGTATAGTAAACATAAACTTTGTTAACAGAAGTCAAGAGAACTGACAGAAATGCAAATCCCAATTGGTCAGTGAAAGGTAATAAATAAATAAATAACAAGGAATGAGGGTACAAAAGTTCACCTCCACAGGTTTGACCTGACCATCATCCCTGCAATGATTTAATAATCAGCCAAATGAAACTTGGGCTGCAAAATTTTTAAAAAGATAAAAAGGAACACATTCCCCTCCCATGTTTGAATGTCCCCTACATTTCCAATACCACCAAATGGCTTTACAGTTCACTGATTGAACCACTTCATTAGCTTAGCTGTTTAAGATCCCAAGACCCACGTAAACTAAACTAATCCCCCAATCACCCACATTCTTACAGTATAATTCTATCTGTTCACTGACATTGTCTGTCTTGAAATAACTCCCTCCCATTTCTTCTCTCCAAGAGCACCTTCCATTCGCTTCCTGTCGCCTTCTTCTGGTCCTTTGCCGACCTTCCTTTTTCGGCAATGCCTGAGAACTAGAAGCAAAAACAACCCAGAACCCATCTCAAGTAAGAAAGCGAGAGAGACAACCCAGAAATGGAAGCCATCAAGTTGCTGGCCTTCTTCCACTACTGTTTCATTGGCTGCTGCTCGCTAGCCATTGTAGTAACCCATGGAGCACTGGGTGTCCAGCACAATGTGGTGGAGGTGGAGGTGGAGGCTCTTCTAGCAATGAAATCGAGCCTGGTCGATTCATCGAACCAGCTCGCTGATTGGAGGTTGGATTCTGGGAGCCACTGCAACTGGACCGGTTTAAGTTGCAATGCCAATGGTCTTGTGGAGAAGCTTGACCTTTCGAACAGGAACCTCAGTGGCAGCATCTTGAATCACATTCAAGAGCTGAGGAGTCTATCTTACCTCTCTGTCTTCAACAATGGGTTCACCTCAGCCTTGCCGGAAACTTTGGGGAATCTCACTTCACTGAAGACTGTTGACTTCAGTATGAACAACTTCATTGGCAAGTTCCCTACTGGCCTTGGAATGGCTCCAGGGTTGACCTTGGTCAATGCTTCTAGCAACAACTTCTCAGGGTTTCTCCCAGCGGATCTCGGCAATGCAACATTGCTGCAAAGCCTGGATTTTCGAGGGAGCTTCTTCGAAGGGTCAATTCCTGGATCTTTCAGGAATCTGCAGAAGCTCAAGTTTCTTGGCCTTTCTGGTAATAACCTGACTGGAAACATCCCGAAGGAGATTGGCCAGCTGTCTTCTCTGGAGACGATAATCTTGGGTTACAATGAGTTTGAAGGCGAAATCCCTGCAGAGATTGGCAATCTTACCAATCTTCAGTATCTAGATTTAGCTGTTGGCAGTCTCAGCGGTCAGATTCCAGCTGAATTAGGCAAGCTGGAGAAACTTACAACTGTGTTTCTGTACGGGAACAATTTCACCGGGAAGATCCCACCAGAACTTGGCAGCATTCAATCACTCACAATGTTGGATCTATCTGATAACCAGATTTCAGGAGAGCTACCTGTGGAGATCGCTGGGCTCAAGAATCTGGAGCTGTTGAATGTGATGCGAAACCAGCTCACTGGTCCAGTCCCAAGCCAGCTCGGGAACCTGACTAAATTGCAGGTACTCGAGCTGTGGAAGAACTCTTTCACAGGTTCATTGCCAATGAATCTCGGGCATAACTCGCCTCTGCAGTGGCTAGATGTGTCGTCTAACTCGTTGTCCGGTGAGATTCCGCTCGGCCTATGTGAGTCAGGGAATCTCACCAAGCTCATACTCTTCAACAACGCATTCTCTGGTTCCATCCCAATGAGCCTCTCGACTTGTAAGTCACTGGTTCGAGTCAGGATGCACAACAATCTTCTCTCTTGGGCAATTCCAGTTGGGTTTGGTACCCTCCCACAGCTTCAGCGACTGGAATTGGCCCAAAACAACCTCACTGGTGAAATTCCGGACGACCTTTCTTTATCCACTTCACTCAACTTCTTTGATGTCTCTGGAAACCATCTCGATTCCTCTCTTCCTTACAACATCCTCTCCGTTCCGACACTTCAGACATTCATGGCCTCCGGCAACAGCTTCCAGGGCAAGGTACCAGACCAATTCCAGGACTGCCCATCCCTTTCGGTCCTTGATCTCTCCGCCAACCATTTCTCTGGAAACCTCCCGCAAAGCATTGCTTCGTGTGAAAAGCTGGTGACTTTGAAGCTCAGGGGAAACCAGTTCAGTGGAGAAATCCCACATGCAATCGCCACAATGCGCACTTTAGCCATTCTTGACCTGTCAAATAATTCTCTGACCGGTCATATCCCACCAAGCCTTGGAAGCTCGCCTGCCCTGGAAATGATCAATGTATCACACAACCAGCTCCAAGGTCCAGTTCCCTCCAACGGTTTGTTTGCTGCAATAAACCCTAGTGACCTCATAGGCAACCCTGGCCTTTGTGGCGGCGTGCTTCTGCCGTGTCCTTCAATGCCTTCAACCTCAAGGAAACCGCAAAATCTCCACATCCACCACATTCTCTTCGGACTCCTTGTTGGAATCACGGTAATTATATGTCTTGGCATGACATTCTTCACAGGGAGATGGGTTTACAGAAGGTGGTACCTGTGCAATAGTTTTGTTGATGATTACTTCAACAAAAGCAGCAGAGAATGGCCATGGACATTAGTGGCATTCCAGAGGCTGAGCTTCACCAGCAATGACATTCTCGCAAGTATAAAAGAAACAAACATTGTCGGCATGGGTGGATCAGGTATCGTTTACAAAGCTGAAGTTCACAGGCCACATGGAGTAGTGGCAGTGAAGAAGCTCTGGAGAACTGAACCAGACATTGAAAATGGTGATGATGATCTGTTTGGAGAGGTTAGCCTCCTCGGGAGGCTCCGGCACCGAAACATTGTGAGGCTGCTAGGGTACCTGCACAATCAAAAAGATGTCATGATGATTTATGAGTACATGCCAAATGGAAACCTTGGAACAGCTTTGCATGGTAAAGAAGATGAAAGGTTGCTGGTGGACTGGGTCTCAAGGTATAACATAGCATTTGGAGTTGCACAGGGGCTACACTACCTCCATCATGATTGTCACCCTCAAATCATCCACCGCGACATCAAGTCTAACAATATCCTGCTCAATGCTAATCTTGAGGCGAGAATAGCAGACTTCGGGTTGGCAAGAGTAATGGCTCATAAGAATGAGACAGTGTCGATGGTGGCTGGATCTTACGGCTATATTGCACCTGGTAAGCAGCTCATCACTCCATCATATCAACTGCTATTTTCACATTTCACTTAGAGGTCGTTTAGTTGCTGTATTTGGGAGAGTCATTTGCAATAGCATGCAGCACATATGATATATTTGGGCGCATTTAAGTAAATACAATCTCAAATTGGGGCAAGAAGTATCTAAAATGCATTGGTGTGTTTGGTTTGGTATATTATCTGCAAATGCACTGTAACAAAGTGGGTCTCACATGTTTTTCATCTGACATAATCTCCTGGGGCTGAACCATACAATGTTTTTCAATTGCGCCTTACATAATAGCATATGCAATTGAAACAAACATAATTTACAATTCCAAACCAAACACACCATTGGCGGTTTTCATTTTTCCTGTAGCAGATAATAGCATGCATTTGGCACAAATAACAATTTACAGATACAGCGAATCAACAAGCACCCTTATTGATACTTATTTTTCCCGTGACAGAATACGGATACACTCTGAAGGTCGATGAGAAGAGCGACATATACAGCTTCGGAGTTGTGCTTTTGGAACTCCTGACTGGGAAAATGCCTGTAGAACCTACATTCGGAGAATCTGTGGATATTGTGGAGTGGATCAGAACCAAGATGAGAAACAATAAACCATTGGAAGAAGCACTTGACACTAGCATAGTAGGACAATGCAAACTTGTGCAGGAAGAGATGCTTCTGGTACTACGAATTGCGATTCTTTGCACAGCAAAGCTCCCTAAGGAGCGACCATCCATGAGGGATGTCATAACAATGCTTGGAGAGGCAAAGCCAAGAAGGAAAAGCATTTGTCAAAATGGAACACATAACTCTACGAAAGATAAACCAGTTTTTAGCAACTCACCTGTTATCGGCCTCCTGTAGGTGCAAGAATCACCTCTTGCTGCTGTATTTTCTGTCAACTCTAGTTTCTGTAAATCATTCTCTCACCCAATTGTTACCTCTTATGGCTGCCAGTAAATGCCGCTATATTTTTTCAGATATGTAATTTGATCCACCATCTAGTGCAGCATAACATGATGTAGTATTTATAATATCCAATGCCTGCCAAAATATATATAGAGTGACTCTATTCTCATAAAACAATTTCATGAACAGAAATATCAAGATGAACCTAGTTCTGATTCAATGTCAAACTCTCAAATATGAACCTGCAGTAGAACATTTGGAAGTTATATCCTGTGTTGCTGCTGAAAATGGGCATGCAATTCTGCAGTTTTCTCAGCGTATTGATTCAGAAACCATTACAAGTAACCAAAGCATAATACAGAGTGACAAACACTATATATATTTCTTTGGAGACTTTCAAAAGACAGATATACAACAAGAAACTTATAAATCTAATTCTGTCCCAAATCTTAATGGAGTTTTGACCATAGATTGAGAAGGAAAAATGGAACCTCTTCTAAACCAACACTACTCACTTCAAGAACAAGTTTGTTTCATCTTCTGCGTGAATATAAAGAGAGATCTTATATAGTTGCGATGAGCAGTAACTTTCACAACCTTCATAGTCCAGAAAATTGGGTTCTCTCTTCATCCTAGGAAGAACCTAACAGAGCAGGTCCAGGCCCATTGCTAACTTCAAGAAAGCTGCTAGACACAGGCTGAAACAAGGGGGGAAAAGATTAATGAAGAGATGAGTCAAAATTAAAAAAACATAAAAGAATTTTCAAAACTGTAAGCTGGTCTGAAATGTGGCAGGAAGTAACAGCATCTGCAAGAAACTACAAAATCGAGAATATCCTTTCTAAGCAATATATACTGAAGAAGCTACACATTAATTTTAACTCTATTTGCTTCCTGAGATGTATCAGCTGAAATAGTCGACTTATTTCCCAAGATCTTCCAATTTTCTTTTTAGTTACTACTAAACCTCAGACATTTTCTGCTTGTCATCCTAGTAAATCAACACATTTTTAACAGGAGTATTTCCCTATCACAAGAGTGCACCACAAGCTTTAAAGAATCCCACCCCCATGTTTCGATTTTGACATTTGAGCAGTGATTCAATGAATTGGAGGGTCGAAACAGAGCATTCTTTGTTTAATTGTCATCAGTTAAGTAAACCTCCCTTTCAAGATTGCAAAGTCAAGAAGCAAGTGAAAGACTTTCGCGTAGAACTTTAATTGAAGAAGAGTGTTCGGAGAATACCTCTCTAAGATAAGCCTCTAAAAGGGAAAAGGGCTCTTTCTCCCGAATCCCACCATTCTCTTCAATTATCCTTTCTAAATCCTGTGAAACCAAGCAGAAAGGAAACTTCAAATTTCAATTCGTTCGACAATCACTTAACACACAACAGTCATGACAAGAGAAAATGATTGCTAAGAGCATCAAGTTCCTATCAATAACATATTAAGGCAACTAAATCAAGGTCATTTAGGAGATCAGGTCTGTACCTTGCCAGTCAAGATCTCAAATTCAAGTAATTCATCAACAATCTTCTCAAGAACTTGACGATTCTGCTGCAGCATCTCCTTTGCCTTCAAATATGCAAGATCATACATCTGGCAAGATATCAAATCATCGAGGACACTGAGTTACTACACTGTCTCCATACTTCTCTAATGCAGAGTAAACTCTACCTACCTTTTCAACTTTAGCTGCCATCACGTGCTCATGATCATTGCCCATGCTTAAAGAAGTAACCTAGACCAGTAAGAAAGATATTAAACATCAAAATATGAAAACGAAAAAAAACACAGAGCTTGGAACCATTAGAAGACAGACAACAAAGAGCACATGTGATGATGCCCTTTCCTTTTGCTTTTGGGAATGACCATACACAAGTTACTGCTAATCATTCCACATAGTGCATCTTCCAAAACCAATCTTGCATGCTATCTTCTGAACTTTCTACCAATTGAACATACCCTCTTAAAAGCAATTGGACACAGTTTTGTTTTTTCATTCACCCAATCAGCCTACTGTGTCAAAAGAGATGGAAATACCGCATTGGTTGTATAGTAAACTGCGGGACTGTCATCAGGCCCCCAACCATACTGGATCACCATCCTTGTAGCGATCTGGTAACCAAATGAGTTATCAACTAACCATGAATAATTGGAAAGATATTATAAGATGAAAGGAGAGTTGATGAATAACTAATACTGACCTCTTGAGCTTGTTTCAGTTCAGAAGCAGAGAGAAAATTTTCTTCCCCTAATGGAAGTAGCAGTCGGGACGCCATGTAAGAACCAAAACAAAATACAAGCTTCTTCTCAAGGTATGTTCTGGACTCCATGCTCCCGCTCAGGGAACCCTCATTTCTGGCTTTGCTGATTTTTGTGCATCCAATACCCTGACAAAGGACAACAGATTGAAATTCTTCCAGCTTCTCTATTTTATGTAAATCTAGAATAACTAACCTGCCAGGAAGACGGCTCCAGCCACAAATTATCCACAGCATCAAAGTTGGGTAACAAAGCCGCAATAAGACCACGACCAGCAGCCCAAACAGCATGTGGGAACTTGGTATCCTTCGTCCACTGTTATATATCTCACTAATTAGTTCAAGAACTCACAGCGGAAGCTCTGGCTTGCTGCAGTTACTTATCTGCAGCCAGAAGTAATGAAGCTGTTGAAAACTAAACTATAGTTTCTTACATCAATTGGAGGATTCAAAAGCTCCATTCCATTGCTTATCTGACCATAAGGCTCCATTAGCTCAACAACACTCTGCAGATCCTCCCTCGTCAATTCAAGTCCTAAATGATTCACAAGCATTCTGGACATCTTCTTAACAATTGCGGTTTTTCTAACCCATTGAGGAGTAATTGTACTGAAGGTCTATAAGAGCAAAGAAGCACACAGATAATGAAGTTCGTTAGAAAAAACTGGATGACAATGCCACATCTTGACGAATAATAACAAGAAAGAATACCAAATGTAAACATAGCTTAAAAGGTCTCATTCGATTACAACTACACAGCCATTTAACACTCAACTAATATAGTTGTAAGCAAATAAAGATTCATGGTTTTGATGTCAAGAAAGAACTTTACACGTAAACAGATTAAGTCGAAAATACATATTTACTGGTTTTGGAGGAGAAAATTTGATGGCAAGAAAGAACTTTACACGTAAACAGATTACGTCGAAAATACATATTTACTGGTTTTGGAGCCAAATTTTCTCCCTTACCGCAAACCAACTACAATAGCTCATTAGTTCATCTGTGTCCAGAAACTTGTTTCTGAAGGCGCTACCTTCAAGAGCAACAGGGACAAGTTTCAATTCTGTTGGCCGTAGAAGGGCTGTCTTCTCAGCAACCTAACCACAATGAAAAATGTCCAATCGGGAGGTCATCTAAGTGAAGCATAATTCAGAACTGAAGTTGATCCAAGTTTCAACAGCTCAAGTAAGCAGCAGTTAGATGGGGGTTTGAGCAACCTAATAAGTTCAACACAATTTTTTAGACATTATATACCAATCAAGACAAAAGTAAAATGGCTAAATACCAATCTTCAAGTGGCATAGAGCAACTTGGTCTGTTGGTATCTTTATAAGTGTACACATCTCCTTCGCCATTGCTCTCAAGCATGACAACACGAGATATAAACAAAATTAAGTACCTTACTCCAGTCCACAAAGTCAATGAGTTCTTCATCCATAGTTTCCTTTGCAGCAGTGTGTAAGATCTTCTCTCTTTCTGCTTGAGTTGGCCGTTGTAGATAAAACACTCTATCCATTCGACCAGGCCTCTGCAATGCTTCATCGATTTGCTTGATGTTTCTAGTTGTCGCCATCAAAACCACCCCATCTTGTTTCTCAAACCTAGACAATCGTAAATTTATATCAAGTAGATATATCAATGGATTTATTTTAACTACCTTATTTAGGATACCGCTTCTACCACATGCCACTAAAACTAGAACATCTAGCTTAGAGTTCCACCAGTTGGCACAATGGCTGCTGATTGGTTTGGCAGCATACATAAATGCCAGTTAGTCTAGTGACATCTCTTTCACATGTTGTAGGTCCATAAAGATGGAAAATGCAGAAGAAAGTTACCCGTCAAGTTCCACCAGAAGCTGATTAATGAAAGCCTCGTGATCCTGTTTCTTGGTGTGTATAAACTTGCCACGAACACCGGCAAAAAGGTCAAAATCCTCTACGAAGATGATTACTGGTGCCTAAAAATTACAATTTCAGTTAGATGGAAAGAATCACAAATTATAAAGCTTTTTCTTATAACGACTGCAAAAAGAAGTCATCTGCATTTCTTAACATCATTAGGCCAACTAGACAAAGCGGCTAAAAGGACCCATAGTTTAACCAAGTATAGAAGACAGAAGATACAAGCATCTGAGAATTTTAGAAACCTTGAGCACAATGATCATCTAAAAATGTAAAACAGGATACATAAGCCTGATTATAAATCTAGAAGAGAGAGAGATTTACATGTGACCCAACTTAACCTAGGATGACTAGTGTGAGCCTGGTTACAATGATTCGATCGGAGATTCTGAAATCAATAATGAACAGATTTCCTTCTACCAGTATAAATTAATGAAAAGAAATGCAAGTTAAAAATAGGTGCTCTGCCAAACAGGGAATTCACAGAGCTTAGACTGATAATTTAAATAAATAGTAGATCAATTTAGGGTTAATGGACAACCAAATCTCTAGCTGTTTGAAACAGTTCTCGGACATTTGATGCGCTTTGGCCAACCCATAGTCCAGCCTCTAGTTGCTGGGCCTCAACTTGAACAACAGGCACCCTAGCTTCAGCAGCAATAGCCAGAGCTAATGATGTTTTACCAGTTCCCCTATCCCCAACAATAAGAACTCCCTGCAAAGCAGCAATGCATTAACTCACAAGCCGGTCAGGCTCGATGAGCACAATAAGACATGCAATTATATAGAGAACACGTTATAGCGACATACCCGAGGAGCACGGGCACCCATTTCCTGGAATGCGGCAGGATTTCTCAGAAAAGCTACTACTTCATTAATTTCTTCTCTCATAGACTCAATGCTGGCAAATCTCTTCAAGGGAATTGGAGGATTCTTCACCCTCTGGACCAGAAACAGATGTTAGCATAAGCCTTCACTCATTTTGATGACCAGATTTTCCTAACTGACAGGTGAAAGGACAGTTTTGGTATCAAAGTACAAACCTTCATTTGGTCAAAAGCAGTTCTAATAGGATCCACTCCAGCCTTTTTCTTGTCTTTAATTCTCCTTATTTTCGAATGAACATAGGCTCTCTACCAAAAATCACAAATGAAAGATCGAAAAATCAGTAATAGTAAGTTTCCACCTACTGTCAACAAAACAGACTTCCACTCAGAATTAATAGAAGACGTCAGCAATGACCTGTGCAAGGGATCAATTGGTCTATCCTAAGGGTATGCACAAAATGAGGGGGCAAACAATGATTAAATACAGCCAAGAAAGTAGATGGAAAAGGTTACCACTCTCCGCAACTTCCACAAATTTGGATTTCTTCGTAATGGTCCAAAGCCAAGAAGCCCAGGAAGTTTCCTTCTCAAAAAGCGGAAAAAATGGAGCAGAACGTATCCATATATAACAGTTCTAATGCAAAACCAAAAATACCACTGAAAATCCTCAGTATTCCTGGACTTGGAGTTCATTTCCGCCTCAGACTGCCATTTCAAGTACCAAGTTGAGCCAGCAGTTTGATCTATTTCCTCTGGCCAAGCCATCCCCAAGCGGATCCTTACCTTCAATAAACATGACACGAATGAAACAAAAACTTCAAAATAAACACTTATGAGCAGCCGTTATTGTCATTAAGGCGTTATGAGGAGGTGAGCTAAGTACCGGGTAAGGAATGACGAACTCTATCAGTGGAAAAATAATTGCCATCATTATGTCATCGTTGATATTGTGAATTTTCTCTGACAGCCACTCTCTCACACTGGATATGTTTCTACTCTTCCAGAGTGCAACAAAGCATTGGCGAGCCAGTCTTGCTGCCAAAAGAAATTGTTGATGGAAATCCAACTCTGATAAAGGGATCCACATCAAATGTACAGTAGTTGGAATGTCGCAGGCAAGCATTTTCATATACAGCCCATCAAACCCTCCAAAATCTTGATATAGCATCTCAAATTCCTGCACGGCAGATATCAAGGTCAAGAGTGGGGCAATACTTGGCCACAGAGAAATTAATTGGCAATATACACGTATGTAACCTTGACATCGATGTAATATTCCTTTTCATCTCCTTTCAGGGCAATGTACATGGCACCCCAATCATGCCTGATTCGAGCATGCTCGACTAGTTTCTTTGAGACAGCATATGGAACTGCTACTGGGTCCATTTCCCACTGTTTTTTATCTTCATTGTACCAAGTCTTTGAGATTACTCTATCTCGATCCAAAAGAATACGTTCCTGAAATCATCACCAACAAAATGGTTAATATTACACAGACCAATTCAGATAGATGAGGACTTAAGTTAAGATCTGAGTGAGCAAATTGATGCAGTGGAATAAATTACAGATACAATTGTTAGCTTCTGAACTTTTGATTGATCGGGTTGTGCATAAGGCTACCCCATGAACATCTAAATTATTCGCCAGTGGCAGTGACATATCAGTCCCTGACCACATGAAAATATTTGTCATCCAAAAGTCGCTAGCAGGCAAGAAATTGCCAGATTTGTTACTACTCTACCACTCAGCTATGTACAAATTGTACCTGTTTCTCAGCCACATAACGTTTTCCAAAGTCGACATCCTCCAGCAACTTCCTTTTCAGGTCTGCCTTGGCCTCTTCACGCCATTTCTTCCAACCATGGTACAAACGGAGGCGTATGGCTTTCGGAACAACGACCTCCTTTTTTCCAAACATCCACTTCGATTCAAGTTCTGGGAAACCCTTCACAACTTCATCTTCTGATGTCTTCACCACTAAATGCTTCTCATCACCAAACCTCCTCATTGTTTTTCTTATTCTTGCCTCCAGAGACCTCTGTAGCTTCCTCGACTGGGTAAGGCCTTGTTTCACATGTTCAGCAAAATCTAACAAGTCATTACCAAATAAAGGACCAACAGCTTCAACTTCCACAACTTGAGGCAGAATCATTTGTTCCAGAAGCTTCCTCTGCGCAATTTCGAGTTCTTTCTGAATTGTAGACCTCGAAAGCTTGGTAATAGAGCTACTTTCCAAACTGCAACCACATGGAAAGATCCACCCCTCGTAAGTACTTAAACATTCATGAGCATACTGCAAACATGGAATCTAAGCCGAAGCATCATGCAATGTCCAAATCAAGCAAAACTCCACTTAACTTTTCGAGAGAAAAACAAGCTCCAGCAGTAGCATGGTCCTCGACTAAAGCAATATCTTAAAAACTCACAAGTTCATCAAACTTCTCCAAGATTATCCCATAATAACTATCAGGTTTCAGTGGTTGAGCTAGCTTAATGACTCACATAACCATGAAAATTGTCCGAAATACTTGTTCTCCATAAACCCTATCTACTCCTTTGCAATGATTAAATATCAAATGCCACAATTCATGCAAAGCATCTTGAAAAATACCAAAATGGACTAGCTTTTTTCTATTTACCTATCTGGACGTTGCCTCATTTCCTGTATAATCGTCTTCACCAGCTCTTCACATTCCCTGTCAATAAAACAAAGCTCCCTTACCCCAAAACTCATCGCCATTGTCTCTGTCCTCAGAATTGCATTCTCAATATCCGCAATCTTCTCCCAAGCTTCACTATATTCCTCCTCAACCTCTCCCATTCTCGTTCCCAGCTCATCCATCCTCTCTTTCTCACTCAGCGCCAGTAAATCCTCGTACTCTCCCCTCAGCCTCTGAGCCTCATCAACAATCTCATCCAGCCGGTCTCCCAAACTCTCCTTCTCTCTCTTCAACTCCTTCAGCTCCGTAAACATCCTCTCCATTATTTCATTCTGCAGGTGCTCTTTCTTATCCTTCACCACCACCAAAGCCGCCGTCAATTCGTCGACATCCCGAATTCCCTTCCTTACCTCCTCTACGCAAGTCAACAGCCCAGAAACTTCCTTGAGCAAAGTTTTGGTATAATCCGAATACTCGTGCCCCTTCCAATTAGATTCATCGTCGTCAAGTTCTTTGCCCTTCTTCTCCAACCTAGCTTCCTCCGCCGCAGCGGGAGGAGCAACAACTGCAGATGCAGGCAATCCACGAGCCTGAAGAAACCCAGCAACAATGCAGAACAATACATATGCTACAGGTCTCGCAATGCTCCGAATTATACTTCTTTCGTCCCGGAGAACATTCCCAGATGATAAAGCTGGTCGTTTCCGCTCTTCCGAGTTAGCAGGTTGCGGCTGAGAGGGATGGTCGTCATCGACAGGCTTAGAGCCCTGAAAGCTAAGTGCTCGACATTTGCTATTCAACAATGGAAGGGTTCTGGTCGTGATTTTGAATGGTCTCCTGGAGGGGAAGCTTTTTATCCTGATTCTGCGTTTGGTCGGGGAAGAAGAAGTTGGGTGAGGTGCGGATAAGCGAGAGAAAGACAGACTTGAGAGGGAAATGGAAGCCATAGGAGAGGTTTAAGAGAAGAAATTCCAGCAAATGAAAATCCAATGGAGAGAAGGCTTTGATGAGTCATTCCTCGAAGTCTAGAATAGTGACATAGTTACAGCAGTGAGTGAGACGGCTGAGAGCTGAAGAACGAAAGGAAGGGTTGAGAAGAGGTTTATGGGAGCATCCGTAGAGAGGACTTGGAGAAGAAAGGAAATTTGGAGATGGTCCGGTTCAGCGATTCGCTCTATTCTCTTTGTAAGGTTGCCAACCGGTTTATACCGTGCCGGTTTAGTAAATTGTATGCTTCTACTGGAATACAACTGGTTTATACCGATTTAATAAAATACTAGCTTATACCCGGCTAGGTGTGGGCGTTCGGTCGGTTCGGTTAAGGTTATCCCGAATTTCCGAACTTTCCATCGCCCCGACCGAATTCGAACCGAGCTGTAATTCGGTTCGGTTTGACCGAACCGAATTACAACTCGGTTCGGTTCGGATGCTCAAACCGAAACACCTCTGCTGCCCCCTTTTTGCCTGCTGTTTTTTTTTTTTGTGAAAATTTGATATGAGCTGGCTGCTCATTGGAGTTGGAGAATCAGTGCGTCGACGTCGGGAGACGGGAGGAGACTTGGCAGCCAGTGGATTGCGAGAGGGGGGCGAGCAGAATCGAGCGACGAGTAGTGAGGTTGAGGAAGGTCGAGCGCCGAGCAGTGCCTGTTGAGTGTTGACGTCGCCGTGCTCGGGGCTCGGGCAGTGGAGACTCGGCAGCCGGTGGATTGCGAGAGGGGGGCGAGCAGGATCGAGCACGAGCAGTGAGGTTGAGGGGTGTTGACGTCGCCGTGCTCGGGGCTCGGGCAGTGGAGCTGTGGAGGAGGCGTCGGAACTCGGAGGTTGGAATCGGACGTTCCCTCTGCCGGCGCTGCCTTCTCGCGATTTCGTCAGTCAGTGCGGCGCATAGGTTTAGCTCGCAGCAGCCTCGCACCTCGCAGACGAAGACGACTCACGAGACGACGGTGGCGGTGCTGGGCTAGGGCTAGGGCTGGGGTCGGGACGTCGGGTACTGGGCAGTGGGCTGGGCCTGGCGGAGCAGGCCTTCAGTATCGGTCTCGGAGCAGCCCAATCAATTTGTTGGACAGTTGGACTAGGGCGGACGGCGGAGCACTGGAGCAGCCAAGCAGGCCTTCAGTATTGGAGCAGGCAGCCCAACCCAATCCAGCGGCTGGGTTCATCTATTCGGAATTTCGGTCGGTTTTTCGGAATTTCGGTTCAGTTCAAACGAACCTGATTTCCGAAATGTCTCCTATTTGCAGCCGAATTTCGAACCTAACAACAAATATTTCAGATTCGATCGGTTTTTATTCGGTTCGGTTCGGTAAAACCGAACCTAATGCCCACCCCTATACCCGGCCCCTTGGGCCTTGATCGAAGGTAACCCCTTAACATTGGTATCAGAATTGTGACATATAAGTACCCATTACATTAGTATGCCTAGTTGGAGGATAACAACACAATGGTAATATGATGAAAAGTCATTATCTCATTACAATACCAAAGCAACAGCAAAACAAACAATCTTGCTAAAATGAACATCCGGTACCTACCAGAAATCATGAACAATACATAATCATTTCAAAGAACTGAATGCGCAAAACATAGCTGGAGTCATTTGAACATTGGAGTAAAATAGAAGCATAGGTAACACTAAATTCAAGAGAAGTCTACGATTTTCTCCAATCGATCAAACAAAATAGAAGCATAGGTAACACTAAATTCAAGAGAAGTCTACGATTTTCTCCAATCGATCAAACATCCTTCATAAAATAAAAACATACAATGTAGTTAAATGAAGAAAAAAACGAATTTGATAAAAACTAAGGTCTCACCTTTGTAGACCGATATAGGTTTATTCAACATAGAGACTAGTGGTGAACCTTAAATCATGTCTGACTCCAACAATTTATGTGTGGTCGCTGCATCCCCCTATGCATGATTAAGGAAAGGATTCAGCGTGGGAACTTTTTGTCATTTCAAGCAATATCGAGTTAATGTAGATCGTTGTTTTCACGCGCAAATTATGTACAAATTTATGAAAAAAATATGTTTTCACGCCTCCCATTATGCATCCATCCTACCAAACTGAAACATCAAGTAGCAACTCAACTTCCCCCCACTCTTACACTTCAAATCTTCCCCATCCTTCCGCTCATTCTTCTTCCCTCCACCATCTTCCAAGATTTTCCTCCCATAACACTAAAGCGTTAATCTTTCACTGCACAACATAATCACGAATAAATTCATTTGGTATAAAAGGTGAAGGTAGAATGAGAATATGAAAAATATACGGGGGATTTAAGGAAATAATCATCATGGATTTATGGTCATATCCAATTCCCACCTATAGATCAAAGGAAATCCATGGACCTCACTTGGACCTTCTAAGTCCATGAACTCCACAAATTTAGTATTCCCACAATCCAACAAGCAAACAATGGATTTATCATAAATTCATGATGGATAGGATTTGAGACATAAATCCATGAAGCAAATGATTAGGCAAAGGGTCTTGATTTTACCTAGAGCTAAGACACGAACAAGAAGAAGGGAGGAGATGATGATATCTCAATTTCTTACCCTTCATAATCTTTGATTCAAAGGATTGGAGGCTGAAAGGCGACCAATGATAGTGAAACAAACGACCCCTAGTGGACGAGGAAAAGGTTCGTGAGTTTACCTAGAGCTAAGACACGGAAAAGGGAGGAGATGGTGATATCTTGATTGCTTGTTTTTGGCAATATTTAATTAAAATAAATCCCATGATACTGAATACCAAAATATCCAAATAAATCCCAAAATAATAAATCAGTAGTCGATGATACCAATAGTGGTATGGTTGATAAGATACTAGATAATATCTAAAATAATGTAACAAACTTTGAGCAAAAGTTAAAAAATTCACATCAATGCAATTGCAAATGTTGTCCCTATTGTCACCTTACATTTTATGCAATCCAACTCATGTTATTTTTAGTGTGGGGTCATTCGGATGGTTGTTTTCAGTGTCGGTTTTTTTTATCACAATGTCACATAACGAGACATTCTGTCCAAATATCTTGTTTGGAAAGGAAAATTAAAATAAGAAATTTTGGCCATGAGACTTATAATATCTCGTTTTAAATGTGGGTTTTTTGTTACATAACGAGACATTCTATCAAATATCTCGTTTGTGAAAGAAAATTAAAACAATAAATTTTGGCCATGTAATAGAATCAATTGAAGTCGATTATGCTTAAAAGAGGAAACAACCAGCAAGTATTTCAACATCAATTGATGGGGTTCCTAAGAAAAAAAATTCAATGAATTAGAAGATCGCATGGTAGAAGTGGTTGTTCAGATAAGGAATCTTCAGCCACTCATTGAAAAATCGGTGGACACCGTAGCTAAAACATTAGGTGATAGTAACGACTTTGTTAGTAAGAGAGAAGACTTGTTGAATAATTTATAGAACTTAAAGGGATTACAAAGACTGAGATGATCATTGCAATGAGGAGGATCTCATATGATGATAGAGATTTGATAAACTTCTATGGTTTGGAGAATGATGAAGACAAGTTGATGTTTGTAACTAAACTTCTGAACTGAATGCTCATGTTTAGTATGTTGTGGAGGTGAACAATTATTTTGAGGTGTTATTTTGTCTGCTTTTGCATAAGTGCAAACAATATTTTTTGGGAATATGAAGATGTAGTATGTTGTGCAGAGCTCTTTTGTGGTTCAAGTCTGCAAGTTTTTCTAGGTTTATGTTATCGAGATGCATGTGCAGTGTTATGAAGTTAAAATCATAAACAAACGAAGTTATGCTACTGAATTTTCAATTTAGGGCTAATACAACTAGGAAATCCGAACTATTTTTATTTTTTTATAATGGTGACTTTCATTAGAACAAAAAGGAAAAGAAAGGACCCCAAATGGTTCAAAAGAGATGAACAATTGAAGTCAGAGTTTGTCCACAAACAAAGCAGCCAAACGAAAAAAACAAAGGAACCAAAAACACAAAACCAAGGGAGAAAACAACTAAGCGGATTCGACCGCTCTTGCTGTGTCCAGGAAAAAAAGGAACCCAGCAGCTAGAATAGCTGCACCCACCCAACCAAAAACAACCACAAAAGAAAAGCAAAGTCCAAACCCACAAAAAAAAACCCAACAGCCGTAAGAACCACCGCCCACCACAAGCAAACAAAACAGAAACCGAAAACATCAGCACATAACAGTAACAAGAGCACAAAATCAAGCATCCATGTGCTCCTAGTTACCACGACAAACAAGAGACAAGGTCCTAAGCCAGTCCCTTCTATTCTGATCACTTATCAACCCAGCTGCTTTCACCCATCGCAAACGACTCCAGTCGATCTTGTAACAGATGGTTTGCCATGTCTGCTTCTTCTCATTAAAGCTCCTATCATTACGTTCTTTCCACACCTCCCAAGTAAAAGCATGGAGGAAAAGCTGTCTAAACCACTCAAACCAAGATGCCGGTTCACCTGCATCCCAGCTCCTAAGCAGCTGCGGCATCTCGTCAAAATCGGGCCCAACAATCTTCAAAACCTGCATAAATACATCCCAAATCTTGCTACTGAAGTTGCAGGTTCTGAACAGGTGGGTGACCGATTCCTCCATCTCTTCACAAAGCACGCATCTGCTGGCAATGTGCCACCCTCGTCGCCTCAAGTTGTCATGGGTAAGAATGAGCTTGTGAAAGACAAGCCAAGAAAGCTGCTAATCTTCAGTGGCACCTGGGCACGCCAAACTGCCCTATGCGAGAAGTCTGTAATTCCAGGGAACCTTTCGTGGCAGAGGCTCTTGTACATGGAGCGAATCGTGAATCCTGCCTTTGCGTTGGGTAGTCACATCAACCTGGAAGGACCAGACGAAATCCAACTAGACGAAATATTTGACAAAAAATTAATTAGCTCAACCCTCTCCCTCTCAGACCCACCTCTCAAATTAGTGTTTAAGGAAA